TTTGCATAACAAATATTTTTTAAAAAATATAACGCCAAACACCATGGTATTCACTATTTAGTGCTTAAAAAAATCCAGGGTATTTCAGTCACAAAATTTCTTGTAATTCCGAGAAAATTTCCGGAAATTCCGAGAAAATTTCCGGAAAGTTTCCGACCGGTTCCGAGTTCCGACGGAAACTGCCCTTATCATTTCCGATTCTATTTCCGAGAAAATATTTCCGAATTCGTTTCCATTTCCGAAAAATTCCGAAAAAATTCCGACTGACAGATTCCGTTTTCGAAAATAGGTCCGGAATCCAGAAAGTTTCCGTACCGTTTTCACCCCTAGCGCAAATGCTGAGGCAAATCATGAAATTGAGATTAATTAATGCATTGAGATGATTTCCGCAACGACAGCACAATCTATGTAACGCTAAATTAATTAATCCTTTCAAATACAGGTTATATATGATTTTAGCCTCGTGAAATCATGAATTTCAATTATTACAAGTGCAAATGCTGAATCAATTCTTCACTAAGCCAGCAAATTTGCCGGTTGTTGATTGGTCCACATGGCGCGTCAACGGTTAAGGTAAATTCGGAATTAATAAGGATAAAAAATGCTAGGATATGTAAAAGTATCTAGATATATGCCGTATTATGTGCATGAACTGAAGGATCACTAGATCTCAATCGGGCGGCAACCCTCATCTCAATCGGGCACGGCGTTCGTCACAACCTAGAAGTCACAGATGTGAAAAGTTATCTCAATCGGGCAAATGACCGTCACGGATAAAGCTATCTCAATCGGGCCTTAATTAAAGCCCGTCACTGATAGTTTTCACCCAGACGACCAGTCAAACTATAGCCCGTCACAGATGACCTATCTTAATCGGGCCACAACTAGCACCCGTCACAGATGACCCTTATCTCAATCGAGCATAAGTTAATGCCCGTCACAGATGAGTATAATTAAAAAAAATAAATTTTAATTTTTGGCTAGCCTCAGGCCTTTGCTATGCCATCCGACGCTTAACATCAAAGTTCTTTAGAGATCAGCTTCCGGAAAAGCAATTGTAACTTGTTGGTATGAGTATTCTATTAATCCTATTAAGCCCTATGCCAGGATGTCACACCCCAACATCCCCCATTCATATACATTCATTCACATACACAAACATCAATATATTTAACACAACCACTTTCACATAACATCCATTTTGATCACATATTTCATATCCATTCACATATTTCAGTAGCAAAAATGAGTTAATTGGATCAAATATATATTTAGCAAGTATTATCATGAAGAGGAGGCAAATTAGACTTCTAGAAAAAATAAATTTTGAATTGAATTTTATAATACAAAATAAACTCATATGAAAAAGCTGTCAAAAACAAAATTGTAGAACTTATTGAGATCTATCAAAAATAAAGCCCGTCATAGATGAGAACTTTAAATTTAATTTTAGGCCGATTTTTGTGTGTCAAATGCAAAAATTGTATAACTCATCGAGATCTACAATTATTGTATTGGTCCTTTGTACAAATAAGTTCATTTGAACAATTTAAATTTTGAATTTTCAAAATTTGACAACTTCGAACAAAAATTGGGGTTAATAAATGATTTCAAATGGAAAAGTCACCAAAACCAAAATTGTAGAACTCATAGAGGTGCAAAATTTTTATTTTGGTAATTTCTCCATCTAACTCTATTTAAACATATTGAAATTTGAAATTCAAAGTTTGAGAAATTCAAATTGAATTTTAGATCAGTGAACGACTTCAATTGAAAAAGTCATCAACAACAAAATTGTATAACTCATCAAGATATATAACTTTTATTTTGGTCATTTTTCTATATAACATTTTTTGAACCGTTTGAATTTAAATTTGAAAATATGATAACTTCAAACAACATTTTCAAATACTAAATGATTTCAACTAAAAAAGTTAACAACAACAAAGTTGAATAACTTTTATTTTAGTCATTTCTTCATCCGACAAAGTGATAGTAACATTGTTCACAAAATTGATATATATCTTATCTGGTTTTATAAACTATAACACATATATGTACAATTTGTGAACAATGTTACTAATATTTTGTCAGATGAAGAAATAACAAAAAAAAGTTTTAGATCTTGATGAGTTATACTATTTTGTTGTTGATGACTTTTTCAATTGAAATCATTTAGTATTTGAAAATATTGTTTGAAGTTGTCATATTTTCAAATTCAAATTCAAAATGTTCAAAAAATGTTATATAGAAAAATGACCAAACTAAAAGTTGTAAATCTTGATAAGTTATACAACCTTGTTGTTGACAATTTTTCCATTTGAAATCATTTACTACCCGTAAAATTATTTTGACTCATAAAATGAATTATTATACTGCAGTTAATTATTTTGCTATAGTTCTACTTACAAAAAAAACATTTCATATAAAAAATAGAAAAATACTCATCGGTGATGGATTTTAGTTAATGCCCGATAGAGATTAAGTCATCTCAATCGGGCATTAGCATATAGCCCGTCACTAATGAGTCATCTGTGACGGGCCTAGTTGTTATCTCAATCGGGCCTCAAGTTGGTACACGTCACGGATGATGGTCATCTGTGACGGCCCCAACTTCAGGCCTGTTTGAGATATGGAATGTTATCTCAATCGGGCCTAAAGTTGGTGCCCGTCACGAATGATGGTTATCTGTGACGGGCCCCAACTTCAGGCTCGTTTGAGATATGGAATGTTATCTTAATCGGGCCTAAACTACGGCCCGTCACTGATTGGTGTCATTCGTGACGTGCTTAAGTTTATGCCCATCTAACATGTCTGTGCGACCATATCTCAATCGGGTACTTTTTCGGCCCGATTGAGATGACTTCCTTATGACGGCCCGCTATTTCTAGGTATGTTAGAGGCCGTCACAGATAAAAAGATCTGTACTAGTGGATCTAGATAGATCCAGTCATGTGTGTGAAGTTAAAAGCAAAAGGTAATCCAATCTAGATCAACGGGGTCTCAGCTTTTAGTATCTGCCCCCTCTTTGTAACACACACAGACATCAACTAATCTCAAGCTAGCATTGGACCACATGGTGCTGTTAAATAGTACTGAGATAAACCAAACATTTACTGATGGGAAAATACTATTATGGTGGTATCTCGACGTTTGGACCAGGTGGCACAGGAGTTTTTTTTACCCAGGAGCATGGGTGGCGGTCTAGTCTACGGATTGATAGCCACTAAGATATACGGTTGTATCTCGACAGTCGGACCAGGTGGTACAGAAGTTTTTTACCCAGGAGCATGGGTGGCGGTCTAGCCTACAGATTGATAGCCACTAAGATATATATATATATATATATATATATATATATATATATATATATATATATATATATATATATATATATATATATATGTTTCTGTCAAACTTTTGTGCTTAGGAGATGTTCTAGTTGTTTCTTTTTCTTTTTTGGCTGTGTGCATTTTATGCAGAGGCCGGGGGTGACTCAGTTTGATTATATCATCTTGATGTAATTAACTGAGTCTAAATAAAGCTTCCATTATCTAAAAAACTGATGGGAAAAAAAGAAACACTCACATGTGTAGGACCAGAAACAGGAGAGAGAAGGCTAAGATGTGAGAAATCTAGAACCTTCTCAAATATAAACTAAAATGGAGAAAGCCAGAGCTTTCAAAAATTTGAACTACTACCTTATTCTCCTTCGGCCACTCCAATACAGAAACCAGTAACAAAAATTCACCGGGTAAATTTATATAAAAAAAAATCACATGGCAACTTAAAAGAAAAAAGGAAAATTTGATGGTAAACACATAGGGGGCCATATAGCGGCGTGCCAACAGGCGCGCTACTTTTCTTGTATAATATGCAATATTGTTTACAAATTATTAAGAAGTTTTTTCTTCCAGTGTATACAGAAGAAAACCCTAAAACCTTATAAGTGTATAGATGAAATTTTCCCTATTAGAAATACGAAAATTAAAAGTAATTGTGATGAATGCCACAATCAGAGATTTAACTAGTTGCCACTTTTACCAGATCCGTGTAATCCCTCTCACAAAGTGATAAATCTATTGCCACACACCTCGCTGGAGTGGCAAAACTTCAATTGGCCACTAGGAGTGGTTAATGATTACACATTTTATCTCATTGTTTGGTCACGAGGTTTGAATACAGCAACTGGAGAGAATTTGAGCTTTTAACTGGCATACCTCTTATATAAAAAATTATGCAGTGCCGTTTTTTTTTTCATTTATGTATATGTATTGGGCCAAATGATGATGTATTTCACATCTTGTTAAAGCTATTTGACATAATATATATTCGAATATAAACATATATTCATGTTAAAAAGTATATATGGGCCATCCTTTTAATATGATGCATACCTTGGGCCAAATGATGCTAAACCATGCATTAAATATCTGCTATCCTAGATATGTCACGTATTAAGTACTCCTCAAAAGATATATTTATTTATTATATATTTTAATGTATGCGTTACTTATTGAAAATTGTTCAATATTACCTCACTTTCGTTTTACCAATGAAAATTCCAAAGGACCTGTTTGAAATACAGTACTACTTCGAACCAGAATTGATTTTTTTTTATTATTGTTGGAATTCTTAAAATCAAGTGAGGGCCTAAATGAAGAGCCAAAGTATAATCAACTATTTATGATTGCAGCAAAATCTCCAAACTTTGTTTTGTCCTGTAAAGTTTCTTGAGGCCAAGATAACACTACACAAACCACCAATAAACACCTCATGGAACAATAGCATGAAGGTCTTTTACAGGACATAAACACTAGCACATATTTCCATATTTGGCTACCAAGACCCATACCCACACTGTGCATACAAAGATATGCCACAGAAGATCTCTCACATAGACAACCACAGCACACCATAGAACAAGCAACATAGGGAGAGAGGAAAAGGAAAAAAAAAAAGAGGAGAAAAGGAGCCAGGTGGAGAAGAGGTCAAAGACAAGAGACATGGAGCAAAGGCATAAACCCACACACCCACCCCTCTCTTCACCCATCCCCCAAATTCCAAACCCTTGCAACTTCAGATCTTGCTCTCTTACTACCGTGCCGCCTGCCGGAGACTTGATTCCAGCTATGCGGCTCCGAAGAGCTGCTACCAGGGTGCTTCGGCCGGCCTACTCCACCACCCAGGCTGGAGGGCCACGTACATCTTCCAGCAACCTCTCGTCGGAGCTAGTGATGTATGTGCTTCGTATGCATGGTGGCGGCAGAGGTCTCAACAACCCTGTGGTTGATCTAGAGGGTGCATGCAGCCTGAACCAATCACCTTGGGATCTCGCATGCGAGCTTGAGAACCCCAATCCCTTGGTGAGCTTCCATCCCCATCTCCCCCTACCATCCCTTTCACATGCTCTCCCTCTACTAATAATTTCTTCTAGGCTAGCATAAATGCTCGATGCAAGTTACCTATCTTGCTTGATTCGTTCCTCTTGGAATTTGGGGGTTGACAACCATTTTTCTCACTCTCGGATGTTTTTTAGGTTTCATCCATGTGAGAGATGTAGAATCATGAAGTTTTGGTTTGAGTGGTTGCTTAGTGGCAAGTAGCAACAACAAAATTAGTTAGATCGAGGAACAACAAAAATTAGACACATTGATTGGCGGGATCATGCTTTCTTGTAGGCTCTTCAGGCTTCTTTCCCTGAAGATTTGGCCATCACAGGAAAACTAGTGTTGAGGGATTTTGGAAATGAATGCAACAACTAGATCTGGATATCTAAGAGTTATTTGATTGCTCCGTGGCTTGTTGCTTGCCCCTTGTTGAGTGTTGGTCAGTTGATGTGGTTGAAAATTTTTGTGGTTTCTTGTGTACTTTAGACCATGCACGCATCACATATGATCAGTTTATATTGCTTTATTAAACTCACCATGCTGGTTATCTTCATGTTTACCAGCTAGCTTCAACCTTGGTCTTTGATGCTATCACATAGTGAGCAAGATACTATGCACAATTGTGCTACACTTGGAATTTGTAGCCAAAGGTTCTTTCATTTTGCTTTTGATGGCATAGTGTACATTGAATTAATTGAAAATATGTGTGATTTCATTTATCCAGTAAGTTAGCTGGTCACCTTACTAGAGTAATTCAGGATTTGTCCCATCACTCTATCTTTTCCTTTTTAAGCAACAAAAACATTTCTGTTGTGTATTGCTAATAGATGCCAGGGATGTAAAACATTTCCATTATCTAAAAAAATTACTTTATTTGTTCTGTATCTCACCTCGACTGTACTATTCGAAACTTGTAGGAGGACCTGTTCAACAAGTATCTAGTGCACATCCCTCATAGGGCTAGTTTCACATTCAACAACGATAATGATGAAGAGATGGAAGTATATGACATGATATGGAAACAACAGCAGGGTGAGGAAATGAAGGATCTGAACCCATCCCAAAAGGAGAAACAAGATGGTGAGACCAAAATGGTAAAGGATCATATGAATGTGGAACCCCTGGTGCCAGAGGAGGACATGTTAGACAAGGGGATAGAAGATTTTGGCGAAAAGAAGGCTAGTGTTTGGTACTATCGCAAGAGGTGGCACTGCCAAAACATCGTCGATGGGCCCAAGGCCTTGTGTGAATACCACCTAGCAAAGAGCCACTCCAACACCCCTACTAGTGTGAAAGTTGCAACCGCCCATTCTAAGTCATGCTGTACAATTACCATGTCTCATCTCCTGAAATCTAGCTTCAAACCAACTTTAACTGGTGAAGCATCAAGTTTGAGGGCAGCATCAGCAAGCATACAAAAGAACTCCCAGTCACACAAGAGGAAGGCAGGCAATGGCTTAAGTGAGGATACATACTACTCCTATAGTTTGTTCAGCCCATTCCATGGAAAGGATCAGGATGATAGCAGAATAGGTTGAGTAGCTACAATTGATTATCAACAGAAGGGGTTTCTACAACAAGATAACATTGTCCTCATAAAAGAAAGAGATGATAATAAGGAATACATCGATGTTGACAACTTGTTTGATGATTTCTCGATCGCAGGTGATGATGGGCAAAGCGACAAAGACTACTTTGTTGGTGGTGCCAATAATCCCCATGTTAAGAAAGGGAAACAATAGATGGCAGAGGATAGAGCAGAATGATGGCTAAGAAGCACATTAATGAATGGTCTCTCAAATAATTGCTCTAGAGTTTCCATTAAACGATGGAAGTGTTTCGATCTCCCCTTGTTGTTTGATTTATGTATTATGTATGGATTGTGGCATGTCCCTTTTCTGTGAACATTTTAATTTTGCTATATTTGTAAGTGGATCAAATATAATTTCGGGTGATTAAGGAATGTTTCCTATCCAAAAAGAATTCCGCAAAACTTTGGATAATTGATTATAAAATGAGACAAACCTGGAATACAAGATATCACCGAAGACTAACAAGTGTCATGGTCAGATAGTAAGGAATGTTTGCATCAGCTTATGTAACAACCCGTCCTCCAGAATTGCGTAGCCCAATCCATAAGATGGGTAGACTCACTTACAAGTTCATCCTTGTTTCTTGTAAATGGGTTAAGACAGTAGTGGTATGGTTGAAGGAACAAAGCCTTATAAGTTGGACCCACTCTAATCAACTTGTAGGGTGGTAATAAGGTGGTTTCGGCGGAGAGCACCAGGTCGCAGGCAGCCGCCGACTGGCCCGGAGGTCGGGGAGGAAGGCAGCGACCGACCATGGAGGCCGTGGAGCATGCCCGCAACGAATTGGGCGGTGGTGTTAGAGGGGACCCGGCAGCAATCCAGCGTGGTAGGGAGCTAATCCACTGCAGGGGCCTGTGGGGCATTCACCGCTACCTCTACCACGACTGCAACAGCACGCCCACAAGCTCATTCATAGAAAGAGAGGGAGTTGGGAGGCCCGCGAGCTTCCTCCACCCTCTCAGCGATCGCCGCTACACCCATCGCCCCCTAACTGCTTTGCTCGCCGCCGCCGCACCCGCCGCCCGCCGCTCCCTGCCTGCCACGCCCACCGCTCCGTGCCGCTCTAGCCCACCGCCGCTCCGCTCGCCGCCCGCCACCACGCTAGCTCGCCGCCGCTTCGCCCTTTGCAACTGGTGGCCTCGCTCGTTGAAGAAGACAAGAGAAGAGAATAGCATAAAGAAAAGAGGATAAAAGAGAAGAAGAAAAGAGGAAAAGAAGAGATGGCAGACCCCACGTTTTTCTTCTAACTTACATGTAGGCCCCATAATTTTTTTTTTTGCTGACTAGGATGCCACATCAACGTAAATAGAGATCCATCCTACTATAGGACCTAAATTGCACGATTTTGTATAGTTTAGGGTGAAGATTTGTAGTATTGGGGATTAGGGGTGTCATACAGACTCGACGTAAAGTTGAGAGACGGCTGGTGAACTTATTCCTTTTAAAAATAAGTTCATCATTTTAGGAGAATATTTCCCCTAAGATGCGGTTATTTGAATCAATGATTTGAATTTGATTTGTTTTGAATTTCTAGTTGAATTAAGTTGGAGCTTGCACAACAAGAATTTGCATTTGAATTAATTTGGCGATGTCAGAAAAAGAAAGTTTGAAGTGTCCCATAAGATCTATCATGATGCAAGCTTTTTGTAAGTTTGTTTATGGTTATGATTTTTGTTTCTGAATTTAATTTGCAAAATTTAAGGATTTTGTTTATATCTTTCATGTAATCAAAAATAAGTTAAACAAAATCAACTATTTAAATACTCCCTCGATTTTATATTATATGGAGCTTTGATGTTTTTTTAAGTCAAACTTACATAAGCTAAACCAAATTGATAAAAATATGTAGCAACTCTTATAACACCAAACTGTAAAATCAAAGTGTGTTTGATTCTTATTCTGTGATGAACAATTGGCATCTGAGATTATTGGTTCTGATATTTGGAGATAATTGGCGAAGTGGTTTTGGAGATGATTGGATTTGAAGGTGATATACAGGTACTGTTGGATGTGTGGTCCGGTCAGATCGGACACTGGTTGCTGGTCAGACCGACGTGTATCGAGCGGTCAGACCGGCCAGCCCATGGTCTGACCGGCCAGCCCATGGTGTGACCGGCCAGCTCTGTGTCGGTTTCAGTTTTGGGTTATTTCTTTGGATATCCATGAATAGTTCATGTTTATGGCTTCTAGATGGATACTATGCGTATGTAATAATGTTGTTTGCTAACAATGAGTCAAGTTGGAGATAGCTTGGTCTTGGAATATGGTTTCTTTGGTTGATTCATGTGTAGGTGTCTTCATGCCTCGGGAGAGTATTGCCGATGATGGATCGGGAGTCAACTTGGAGATATGGTGACGTCCGGATGGCCAGATATCATGCAGGATACTTAGGCTAAAGATCAATGCACGTGGTTGTTAAAGATTCCATATGGCATACGATGGAGACATTATGTGCGTATGGGATGCGAGTCAGAATTTGGATGGAGTCCAAATTTGGTACAATTGGAGTTTGTAAAGTTGGTTTCTTGTACAGGAAGGATTCCTAGGTGGATTAGGACTTCTTATATGAGTTTGGTTCGTGGCTTTAGGCTACCTATATCATGTTTAAATAGAGAGGGAGGGTGAGACCTCCCAGTATCACTTTAGAGAGCATTGAGTTTAGAAAATAGTTAGGGTTTCGAGTTTAATCGAGATTTTTGTGAGGAGTATTGTTGTTGCACTTTGTAAACACAGAGAGAAGTAATAAAGTTATCATCTACTTTGAGAGTTCTTCGATTTGTGTTTGCTCTGATTCGGCAGTCTAACCAACGAGACACCGGCGGTCAGACCGACGGCAACGCATCGGTCATACTGGCAGGACAGCGGCGGTCAGACCAGCGATGGCACAAGCACGGTCAGACCGACAAATCAACTCCGGTCAGACCGATCTACATGGAATTGAGGGTAACTTTTAATTCTGCTAAAAGTTTTGGTTTTTGGGTACTACAACCATTCACCCCCCCTCTGGTTGGCTTAATTCTTGTTGTTCGATCCTACACAAATTAGTTTTATTAAATTTAACATTTTATATATTTTAAGAGTACATTTGTTTCGTATGTTTAAAATGTTAATATGTTTTTCTATGAAATTTATTAAATTCAAAGAAGTATAACTAATAAAAAAATCAAAATGTTTGAAGTAAGTGTAGCTCAATTGGTTAGATTTCTTCTGGTGGAACCAGCCCACTCGGGTTCAAATCCTAGTTTTGGCACGGGTGATCACATTCACATCTAATTATTCTTTGAGGCAATTTCATTCTTCCCCTACTTTAATGTCCAACATTGATTTTGCTGTCGTTTTTTTAGGGTTTTCTTTTTTACTCTTGTTTTTTTCAAACGAAACCGCATTCTACCCCTACTTTGGATGGTCAAATTAACGGTGTTAAGTCATTTTCAAAAAGACATTTGTACCCTCACTTATTTTTGCACATTTGCCCCTATATATGTTCATTAATTGTATTTTTGTCCCAGTTTGTACATGTAGATTGGAACTTGATTTTTTGAAGATATTTAAAATGAATCCCAATGATTTTTTACAAGCTTTGACTAATATAACAATTAGGACAGAATATCAATAAAATTATGGCATGATCAAATTACATATTTGACACAGTTTGATAGAATTTGGACAAAAATTTCACAGCATTTCAGCAGCATTTAACACAATTTGGACAAAATTTTGACAGCATTCCTAAAACATTTTAAGCAACCAGTAGAAGTCATATAATAAGCATCACAAAGTATAACAAGTCTAGATGATAGATAACACAACGACACCACATATTAAAAGCCAAGTCGCACGACCATTAGTGGTCGCAGTCTAGCAAGGGCCTGATCCCATTTTACCAATCTACAAAGATGATTGCCAAATTGGAAGGTATTAAAGTCTTTGGGTAAAACACTAAAATCACTTAAAAATTATACACTGTGTTCAGTTCAAATGTAAGAGATGGATCAGTGCGGCAGTGCCTTAGGCCTAGTTCCCAACTTTTTCATCACATCAAAACTTTCCTACACATACAAATTTTCAACTTTTCCGTCACATCATTCCAATTTCAATCAAACTTTTAATTCTGGCGTGAACTAAACACACCCTTAGTGGAGTTTGAGCCATGTCAATCAAAAAGCAAAAGACCCTATGAAAATGCCAAAGTGGATAGAATTACAGAATTTTGTGACCACACCGGTCGCCGGCCCTTAATTTTCCTGTCAGCTTCGATACCAGCTACCAAAGTACCAATCATCGATTTATTTTTTTTACAGAACAAGGAGTGAAGCAAGCACAGTGATTCAGTGAACAGCGCATAGGAATCTGATGTTAGATGGGTAGACCCGACCATTGTCGTCTGGACTTCAAGAGCACAGGAGACGCAGACCACAACTCCAAAAAAGCCACCGATGGAAGTGATAATGTGTGAAAATAATAATAATAATAATAATAATAATAATAATAATAATAATAATAATAATAATAATAATAATAATAACGTCTTGCACTATAAAACAATAGGAGGATGGTAACCAACATTACTTTTTGTCAAACCTAAATGGCGAGAAAAAAAACCAATCTAATATACACATACCATAACTCCATGAAAATCCACCGAAGTAAGTGATCATGTGTAAGAATAACAATAAGAAAATCAAAACGTCTTCTAACTAGAAAAAAAAAAGAGAATGGCGATCAACGTTACTTGTTATCAAATAATATAAATGGTGAGCCAAATAAAATCAACCTAATATGCGTATACCCCAACCTAAAAAAACCACGAACGAAGCAAACGAGCATGTGAAAAGAAATGATATATATAAAAAAAAAACACGCCGAGCAAAGGCCATAAACCCACTCACGCTGACGTACGTCTCCTTCGCCTCCTCCCTTCCGCCCCAATCCTCCCCCAAACCCTAGCCCCTCAGATCCCCCGCTCCCTCGCCGGTGCGCCTCCCGCCGGGCGCCGCCATGCGGATCCGCAGGGCCGCTTCCCGTCTGCTCGGCTCGGCGTCCGCCGCCTTCTCCGCCCAGGCGGAAGCGCCGCCTGTGATTGCGACTGCGACTGCGAGCGAGCTCCCGCCGCCGCCCGCGCCTGCTGCGGCGGACGCCGCCGCCGCCGTCGACGTCGGCCTCGCCGGACCAGAGGGGCCCTGCGAGCAGAGCCTTTCGCCCTGGGATCTGCCATGCGAGCTCCTCGATGACTCCACCGATTCCCAGGTTAGCTATATAGCTTAGCAGCTTCCGTCCCCATCTCACCTTGCTCTCCCTGCGACTCGGCCTGTTTCCATTCCGCCATCCATCCTGCCCTGCATGTATACCTCGCCGCGGCTCGATCGATCGGAGCAATCAGCATGTATTATCTTGCCACTTTTCTTCTGCCTCGCCGTTCAGTTCTTGGTGCCGTGGACGGTGGCCGTGCTGTATCCATTGGTTATAGCGATATAGCTAGGGTTCGTTCGTTCGTCCTTGCCGCCAGAATCAGAGATCTCGCGATCGAAGTGAGAAGTCGCTTAATTGGTGGGGCATACGAAATGGAAGAGTTTATCTGCGTTATGATTTTGCGATTTGCATTTCGGCCTTTTGGCTTGCTGGCTATAGGGTTGGGGATCAGCGAAAATGGGCGTGACTGCCCGTTACCAAGAACAGCACTAGACCTGAGCGTGTACATCTATTGCTGTGTCGCTGCTTACACCTCTGCTCCGGTAATTAGAAATCTTCTGCGAAATATACGTGATGTAATGCACCATTGCACCACACGACACACGTCAAGTACTTGCTCATTTCTGCATCTGAGTTAATTTATCCTCAATTGTTCAGAACTTGCAGGAGGCCCCGTTCGACAAATACTTGGTGCGCATCCCCCGAAGGGCAAGCTTCGTGCTCAACAGCGAGCTGGAGCTGGAAGATGATACGATGGAATCGAAGGACAAGATCTGGAATCACGACGATGAGGAGGAGGAGGTCAAGAATCAGAAACCTGCTGCCCACAGCCTGAAGAAAGATGGTGCGGTGAGGAAGAGATCGAGAAAGGGGAACGACGAGCCCATCTTGCAGGAGGAGGAGTTGGACATGGTGATGAAAACCGAAGAGAGCGAGGACAAGGAGGCAACCATCTGGTTCTGCAAGAAGAACGACGGCAAGAAATGGCACTGCCGAAGCATCGTCGACCGGCCCAACGCCCTGTGCGACTACCACTTGGCAAGGAGCCGCTCATCCTACACTCCCAGCAGTGAGAACGGTGCATCGGCGACAGCAGCGGCAACCTGCAGCTCCGGTCCAACAAAGGCGGACGCCATTGGCAAGATCAAAGCTCCTCCTGCGAAGTCATCCGGTGCCAAACGAAATTCACCGGGAGGAGCAGCAGCATCAAGCTCGAAAGCAGCAGCTGCGACTGCGACTGCACCAAGCAGCTCCAAAGCATCATCGTCCTCATCAGTGTCAGTAACGGTACCAACAAGCTCGATCTCCCAGCGACGCAAGAGGAGGAAGAAGTCGACTAATGGCTCAGGTGGTGATTACTACTTCTATGATCTTTTCGGCCCGTTCCGCGGAAAGGATCGTCGCAACCATGGAGTAGTTTCAGCTAGTGAAGAAGATCACAAGGGACTCCTAAAAGCAAAAGAAAAGATGGAATACATCGATGTCGATAACCTGTCCAACAATTCATCGATCACCGGTGGCGGCGACAAGGAAAACGATGAGGACTACGTCGTTGGTGGTGCCGGCAAGGCCCGTGCGGAGAAGAGGAAAGGGAAGATTGCAGTGGAGAAGATGCCATTTCCGAAGATGGTGAAGAAGCGTACTGTCAAAGAGCGGTCGCTCAAGTCGCTGCTCTAGAGTTGGCCAATGTCCCCGGGAGTGTAATCTAGTTTCCTAGTGTTGTCTTGTCTATGTATCATGCATGTCTGGATTGCAGCATAGATATGTATTGACTCTTTTATGTTTGTAAGTGAATAAAATGGAATTTGACGTTTTTTCAGTGTAGCGCGATGTTTGCAGTCCAGACACACGGGCTACAAATTTTGGATCCTTACAGTCGGAGTAGGATTGTATTTTACACAACTCGACAGATGTTCCTCATTTTCTGGAATTATATTAAATAGTTATAAACACTACTTTAAAAAACTCTAATAGGGACGGCCTCGTGTGTGCCGATACATATAAAACCGGCAGGCTTTTCCGTTCTTCCAACTCCTCATGAAAAACCGGCACATGTAACTCTTACAACTGTCGGTTTATTACAAAAACAGCACCAATAATATTTGTACCTGTTTCAAAAAAAAATCGGCACTCATACGTAGGATATTGGTGTCGGTTTCTTAAAGAAACCGATACCTCAAAGGGAATCGAGCTGACAAGCCGGTAAGCTACCCCGTTTTTTAATTGACACATCACTTTATCTCTCCACCTCTCTCTCTCGTAGTGTGCCTCCTCCTCTTTGCATCCACCGCCGCCACGAGTGCCTCCCCCTACTCGCATCCGTCACCACCTCTTTCTCATCTCCTCAATGTTGTCTCCTCAGCACTGCCTCCTCCTGACATCCTCAAGCCGGCCGATCCGTCGCCATGAGATTGGGGCAGTTAGATCCGACCGCCACGATCCCTGGGAGAGCAAGATCTACCACCACGAGCTCAGGGGCGGCCCTGTCTCCTTCCCCAGTCCAGCGGCGATGCACTTCCTCAATGTCCACGCCAGTCACCGTGCCTCCCTCACTCCCTCATCCTCCACCTTGCCATGGACTGCTGACCGCCGCGCGTGAGCTCAGGACTGGATTGGGCCCACGATGATGGAGGCAACGACCCATAGAAGCAGTGGCTGATCTTGGGGATTCAGGGATTTTTTTTGTATGGATTCTGTCTTCTTATATGTTGGTTTCTTCTATCTCCCTTGTTGATGTTGTTTTTCCTTTTGATGATGCAGTGGATAAATAGCTAGGTATTGGGTATTAGATGGATTCTGATTTGAGTAGCGATGCATTTGTACCAAACTTTTGTTATTCACATTGTGACTTGTGGTATTGAAAATAATATGTGTTTGACGAAGAAAAATTTGGAAAATTTTTGGGCTCAAAGCATTAGCTCGAATTGAGCCGATCTAGCTAGCTTCTTTTTTTCTTTTTCTTTTTTTGGGTGCAAATTGTGCACCTCATCAGTGTTGGTTCTCAATCCGGCATTGATGAGCCTTCTCATCAGTGCCGCATCCGTGATGCCAACGGATGTGAGGTTATTTGTAATGGACCGTAGTTGTGACCCACCACATATGATCTAGTATGAGAGATCATTAACCATGGCCCGTCATAGATGGCCTACAATCATCAGTGACGGGTGGGAAATTATGTCACGCCCAAAAATTTAGCCTAAATTTTCAGACTATTTTGTGTGCTAAATCACTGTCCAGGACCAGCCAGGGTACACAAAACGACAAGTAATATACAGTTCCAAACGTAAATAAAGCGTAAAATACTTACAAAATAGGCACTTATCCTCATACCGGAACGAAAGCAGCAGCAGCGGAAAAAGGCGATCCTAGCGGGGCTTCAGCTCCACTCCACAGGCATAACTCAACTGGGGTCTGAACCTTGGTCCTCTAACTTCGTCTTCAGCTTAGAAGCACTACACTTCTGAAAAGGTGGAATAATAGTAAGGCTGAGTACAACCACCGTACTCAGCAAGCCACACCAATGATGCAGACATGCAAGGGGATACAAGGACGGTTTGTAGCTATTTGCATAAAGGCAGTTGTAAAACATTTTATTGAGCAAAACAGTAAAACTGTTGAGTAAGGTAATATTAAATCTCCACTGATCAACGCTACACCACGTTGAACAGGCCCAACTAACCCACCTGAACTATAGTGCATTGGGTTGATTTATTAAGTGTGAGACTAATCACGGTGAATCTGGTCGATCACCCATAACCGCGGGCACGGCTATTCGAATAGTTTTACTCTGGCCAGAGGTGCACAACTGTACCCACAAGACACAATCCACCGGCATATCACCGTGTCATCATGTGCCCATGATGAACACGTCACCACGTCGAGTGATTGTGACAAGACCCTTCATATAACTCTCCCCTAACCATCCACACTACGCTAAGGTTTCACCTCCACTCCTCGCAAGGCAGCGGGAAGTCCCCTCGTGCGCCGCGGTGAATCCGGCAGCTGGACAACCGGACACCCCGGCCGACCCAACTCCATCACACCCACCCTCGCCACCGGTGCCTAGGAAAGGGACGAGCTATACTTTAGATCAAGCAGTTACCCACTCCTGCTTGTGATAAGCACTGTAAGTCTTCTAGGGTTTCCCGTGAACCAGTCCTTAATTGCCATAGGTGCGTCTCGCAAAACCATGCACCCACAGCCCACCATTCATTTGCATTTTAGCTGGATAATTACGACCATGAAACATGGTCGGATGTCTCGAGCACGCAGCTCGTTCTGATACTAACAAGGTCTAATACTGCAATTATCCCATCAACTGAGCTAGTGGCAATTAAGCATGGCTAAGCATATAGTTCTAACTGTGTCACATAAGTAACATGAGCTAGTCGATTTATCACCCAAGGTTGACAAGGGACAGATAAAAAGTAAACATGGCACAAGCGAGCAGATAGGTAAATCCGGATCCCATGTAATTAGCAAAACATGCATATTTATTTGCAAACGGTAAAACATTTGTAAAGTAGGATCAAAATGCTCAAGGGGAATGTGTGATTTGCCTTGCTTCTTCACTTCAACCTTCTGAACTCCTTTCCTCGCGACCACGATCTTCCAAAACGACGGATTCTACACGTTGGCAAACTATAATAAAAACCAAGCAAACAGTACATAAAAAGTAAACAAACATGTAGAGCTTATATTTAGATGAATTTTGCAAGTTGAATGGCCCAATTCGGAGTTCGAATGAATTAGATATGAATTTTAGAAGTTTTGAGCCATTTTAAATGAATTTCTAGAATTATTACCGATTTATTGCGCAATTATTAAAAATTTTCACAAAGGAAAAGGACTGTCGCTGACGTCAACAAGGGAAGCCGGCGCGACATGCGGGTCCCACACGTCAGTGACACAAGGGGGAGGGCACACAGTGAACACGGTCCACGCGGCAGGGACGACACCGTGGACCCGGACCACGGAAGTGGTCCACGGGCGCGACCTACATCGGCAAAAGGGGAGGCTGGCTCGTCGGCCAACCCGACAAGGCGGCGGCGGCACACGCCGGACGACCGCCGGCGACGGCGGCGCGACGCGGGCAAGGGGGCGGGGGAGGAGGGGAAAAAGGAGGGGAGATGGAGGGAGAGCTCACCGAGCGCCATGGCGGCGAGGGGCAACAGGCGGCGGGGACGCCTTCTCGGGAAGACGGCACGGGCGGCCTTGGGCGACGACCGGCGGTGCGTAATGGACGGCTGAGGCGCGGGACAACCTAGGGAGGGTGGTAGAGAGGTTAGGATGGGGAAAGGTGGCCCGAGACAGCGTGAATCGCTGGCCGGAGAAGGAGGTGAGAGGTGGGGCTTACCGGCGCGCGAGGAGGACGGAGCTCCGGTGGGTTCCCGATGACGAGAAGCGAACGTCGGACCTCCCCTCGTCGCTGCGAAGCTGATGGAGGAAGGTGCGACGGCCGGGGATGGCTCGGAGCGGCGGCAAGCGGCAGCTGGAGGTGGCAAATGGCAGTGGCGTCTCGGGTTCACGGTGGGAGCATTGCTTCGGGGGTGGAGGAGGGAGACGGAGTGGATGCCGAGCTGCGCACGATGGCTGCGGTGCTGGGTAAGGCGACGGCGCAGCGCGAGGTGGACCAGAGAGGCGATGCGGCGCGGCTGGAGGCGGCAATGGTGGCGGAGAGAGATGGTGAACGTGGCGGCGGCGTTTCGTAGGCGGATAGGGGAAAAAGAGTAGGGGCCGGGGTAGAGATCGGCACAGCGATGCCGATGACGGTGGTGGCGCGGCACGGCGGCCCCTAGGGCGGCAGTAGCGGGCGGCTGGAGGCGGTGAGTGGCGGTAGTGGCTTGGCCTCGCGGTGGGAAGGTGGTTCCGGCGGTGGAGGAGGAAAATGAAGTGGATGCCGAGGTGCGGCATAGCGCGGCGAAGCCGGTGGGACCAACGGCGGCGTGCGGCCGTGGCTTTAGCGGCGGTGGCGGGCGACTGGAGGGTCGCCGGCGAGCGGCGGCGCGCGGGGGCGACGCGGGGAGAGCGAGGGAGGCGATGGGAAGCTCGGGGGAGGGGGGAAAACGAACGAGGGGAGCACGGGGAGGGTTTATATAGGCTCGGGAGGGTGAGATGGAGCCGGGGTGAGTTGGATTTGGGCGGCAATGGCCGATGGATGGAGGTGGCGGCGACGTGGGGAAGTGGCGGCCGGATTTTGCGGGAGAGGTGGGGGAATGAGGAGGACATGGGGCGGCAGAGTCCCACGGCCGGGTGTGGGCGTGCGGAGTGGAGGAGGTGGGCGGATTCGGCGGCAATCGTGGGCGGCAACGGCAGGCGGCAGCCATGGCGGTTGGCCAGAGGTAGGAGGAAGAGCTGACAGGTGGGGTCTTGGGTCCCACCTGTCGGCCAGAGGGAGAGAGAGGAGGTCGGTTGGGGGAGGTAAAACAGACTTCGAGAGGGAGGCGAGCTGGGCCGGCGGCCCGAGGGGAGAAGGGAGGGGGTGGCCGGCCTTAGAGAGAGGGAGGGCGCCCAGGCCGCGGGGAAGCAAAGCAGACTTGGGCCGAAACCGGCCCAAGGGAAAGAAGGGGAATTTAAATTGGTTTTCTTTTTATTTTAATTGATTAAATGAACTTTGTGTGTTTATAAATACTTCTTGAGCTCCGAAAATTTACGGGAAATTTCAGAGAGTTCATTAGGGCACAAAGCATATTACAAAATATTCTCGTCCAATGATTTTTAAAGGAAATTTTAATTTCCCCTATAATTTCACTTGATAAAATTGATTTAACTTTTAATATAATTTCTAGAAATGATTTATTTAATGATTTTTAATCCCGACCGAAAATCGGGGCGTTACAAATTATGATCCGTCAGAGATGACTTACACATCCGTCACAGTTGACTCATCTGTAACGGGTGTTCATCCATCACAGATGATATTTTATCATCACTACCCACTTATCACGTCAAATCTGTTAGAGTTGACGATTTAAGCCCATCAGTAATGACCTGGTCGGGTGTGGTGATTATAAAGTAAAACCATATATAACAGCAAAATTGTAGTTATAACGAACTAAAAGTGTGCACTATATATAGTACTTAAGCTTAACAATATGTAATTTTAGGTGTAAATTTTCAGCCACCTGAAATCTAGCAAATGCCATCCCTTCCAATATATGTGTAGCTTGAGCTCATCCATCAGTCACTGCTTTATGCAGGTTTCGTTTACAATCTCTGCTACCCTGCAACACAGATTATATGGATACTCTGGCCCGTTGTTCAGTCCTCCAATCTCTTATCTTCAGACATTATCTTGCTAGAAGACGGATTTAAGAGCTTGTTTCACAAAACTACATATTCAACGGATTTAAGTGATTCACCATGCAAATAGTTTCACAAAAATCTGTACGTCTTCAATTCAACGGATTTAAGTGATTCACCATGCAAATAGTTTTGAGATTACGCGCGCCGTAGCAGCTTAATTATTATATGTGGACCATGTGGTCATGTCCCATGATATTTGTACCATGGAACCGTTCAACAACAATTTGCATCCATAACTATGACACATAAATAAATTAAATAAGTTAAAAAAAATGGTCATCTAACCGTAATAACTGGTTTTGCCACGAGGCACACTTAATACATAAATTTGGCTGCAAAATATAGCCGCTTAATGCAGATAGTAAGCCACGCACCACGAATCCAACTCTATCAAAAATAAATGGATATCAAGTTTATGGTATTTACCGGTGGACACTAGAAAAACACGATATCGTCCGAGAACACTATTAATGTGATAATTTGTTGAAGGATGTGGTCTATTTGGAGAGAGAAACGTACACTTTGAAAAGATGATATTAATTACCCCTGCCACAGTGCCATCCATGCAGACCATCTGGTCTGGATTAACCGGACTCATTGCCCATTTTGCTCGTCCAATCTCTGAAATCCTCCTTACAGTCGACGACGAAAGCAACAGCGTGCTTCGGCGGCCAGCGTCGTGGCTAAAAGAAACACCAGGAGTCTCTCGGCTAGCTCTATAAAATAGTAGGCTAGATGATATAGGTTTAAAGTCTCACCCTCACTATAAGAGGGTTGAGCTATCGCCACCAATTTATTACAACGAAAAATAATTCATGGCAATATATTATACTATCGCAATGATATTTTTTCTATGGCAAATAACTATATTTTGTTGAAACGATTTACAATTGTTGTTTTATTCAGTATTTTTGTTGCAATAGGAAATGAGCTATCGCCAAAAAAAACATTACTATTGCCAAAAAAACATGTTCTATCGCCACACATTTAGTTCGTTGCAATAAAAAAGTTATCATCTCATAATTTGACTTATTCTTTTCATATGGACACGGATTAGGATAAATTTTGTATGAAATTTATAGCTCTCGATGAGATCTACAACTTAAAATTTTTCATTTGAAATCTTTTAAATACTCAAATTCATAATTCAAATCTAAGTTAGGCAGTCTCAAATGGAATTGTATGCATTTTTAAACAAAACTGATGCGTAGGTGAGTTGGTCATGGAGAGCGCGTGTAAGGGAGAGATCTTGGGTTCGAATCCTGGACATGACAAGATATCAAAAGAAAATAGTTAGGATGATAAATTAATATTGAAACATTTAATTTGGTACGTATAACTAATGCCACACATGGAGTGGTGGCAATAGTTATTTATTGCAACCATGTGAAGTGTTGCAATATATATTTTTTGCCACATCCATTTTATGGCAATATCAAATTTTATTACAACTAAATAAAAATCATTGCAATAACCTGTTACCACGCTATTTATTACCACGGCTAGCAACGATTTTAAGATTGTGGCAACATGTATCTATTGCCACAATTTTAGCATTGATGCTACTATTTTTTTCGTGGCAATAAATTATTTTTCTAATAGTGCCTTCTAATTATTTGATATTAGATCCTTCTCAGTATTCGTTTTTTTTTTTAAGCGTCGCGGCTATAGATCCACTGGTTTGCGGCCATGGGCCATGGGCGGAGAGGATGCTATTGGCGGGGTGCACCGGCGTGGCTGTGATATCCGAAGATTGAGTAGAGCTAGTATAGTAACGTGTACACACAACAATGTCAAATTTAGCACAAATTTTGATAATTTGACCCTTTGCAAAAACTATTTTTACAAATAAAGCGTCGCCAAAAGTTATTTTAAAACTGACTCTTTTGTTCAGCGCCAAATCGTGTGGCGTTAAATTTAGACACCTCAGCGCCAAATAGCATGGCGCTGAATGTACGTTGACATGCTGACTTAGTCTCCCTATTCACACATTTCATACTAAGTACACAATAGCACAAATTCACGAAAATAAACAAAACACCACAACAACACTCTTCCCCGGAGTGCTCATCAAATCAAACAAACCAGCAACTTCATCCCAGGGACTTGACAACTCTACTGATGCTCGCCATTGAGTTCACGCAGTCACTGTTGTTGCGCTCTCAGCTGCTCCCCGTTGCTTGCTCCCGTCGAGTCGTCGACGACACTCCTGCCAACGCCTCCTAGGGTCGGCTCCCCACCGCTTGCCACCATTGATGACCCCGCCGCTCGCCGCTGTTGTGTTGACGCCCCAACTGCCGCCTGCTTGCTCCCCACTGCTCGCCACCGTCAACGATGACCCCGCCGCTCGCTGCTGTTCACACTTGACACCCGTGCCACCGTCTGCGAGGGTTGGGGTGTGACGCTGGGAGAGAGATTAGGAAATGGGAATTGGTTGAATAATCGACGGGTGGCAGGGGTAATCTCGTACTTTCAAAACGTTTGTCTCTCTAAATTGGTTAGAAATAATAAAACAATTGATGGAGTGCTCTCCAACAAATTACCATATTTTCATGGTGTTCTTGGACTATATCACTTTTTTAATATCTACAGATAACCACAAAATTTTGATGCATGTCCTATAGCAAATTTTGCTAAAATAAACAGAATCATTCTTTCTAGTTCACTTCCACTAATCTGCTCCCTACGCTTAACCCATCGTAGATCGTCAAGGAAGACAAAATGTGTATTAAATCCTTATCCATGACCAGCCAACGTACACAAGAGATAAAGTTGATACATAAATCGACATCTTACAAAACATCCTAGACTCTTACATGCATAAATACAGGAAAAGCTTAAAACGAACTAAATAGTGGATTGATACACAAGTGGCACCACTCCACAGGCATCTTTAGGGGTGAGCATTCGGTCAGACCAAACTATTCGGTTCAGTTCTTCAATCATTTCAAAAGTTCAATCATCTGAAAATGGAAACCGAATTACATTGAGAAAAAAATGAAGGCCAACAAATTTGGCTTTAGTTAGTACCGCTCGGTCTTCGGTCATGACCAGACTAACCGAGCTATTTCAAAATCCTCGAATCAGCCACACATTCATATCAACAAAAACAAATACAAATAGAGCTATGCACAATCCATATATGGATGAAAGAGTTGGAGCTGTCATCGTCCCCGCCGACACATCATGAGCCCCCATGGGGAGAGGAGAGGCGCACGACAGAGGGCAATGAAAGTGTTGGTCGTAGCAGAGAATGCCGACAGTTGGAGTGGAGGTGGAAGGTGAGAAGCGAGAGGGAGATGTTGGCATTGCATTGACTCAGGGTGGAGGAGCACTGCATGCTGGGTTGGGGTGGGTTGGGGAGTTAGCCAGCTGGCTGGGTGGTGGGGTGGCTTTATATATTGTCAGTGTTACGTATAAAGCATACCCAATGATTTTGGGTTAGGTTCAATGGGGCCCACCATATGCCAAGTCTGATACGGAATCATGCCTTATATATGGAAGGTGTTCCAGATAAGTAAGGAAAAACAGAGTTCAGGTTGGAAACTGCAAGAACCACTCGGATCGTATCCATATTTGTCTCCCTAATTCTACTTAGACAAGGGGATATCTATGGGTATAAATACAAGACCTCTATGGAGGAGAGGGGGGACACACCAACTGTTAACGCAAGCCACAGACAACAAAGGTAACCTAGACATACCCATTCAGTATCACAGAGGCCGACACAAGGGATCTAGCTACCCCCAATCTCACCGAGTTCATATTCGTCGAAGAAGACTACACTAGTCGTCGACTACATGTTGGAGATCTATGCCGCCAAGCCAACATTGACTAGATTAGGCTGTCCCAAATATTGTACTCGTATGATACTGATATATAAGAGCAACATCGGCTTTGGCCAATAAGAGTCTAAATGCTCAGCCTAGAGCACGGCCCAAAATTCCTAGGATTAATTAGGATTTTCAACTGGTGTGCAAGATTATACAATACTACCCCTCCACGCCCAAACATCTATAGATGAGAATGCCCTTCCGTATTTCTGCTACCTTAATGGGATGGTAGTATAGGTCATTTAGACCCCTTCATCATGACAGTCTGGAACTCGCCTACGCGCTCGCTGCCATGTTGTGGAAGCATGAAGGACGAGGTGGCCGGGAGCATTTGTGCTTTTTTTTTCGGTCCACAACTTGGCAGCACCTGGGCATGTGATTTGTGGACTACGCATCCCCCTTGCTGCTGGTGGCTTACCCGCAGTCGAGCTTTGTGCCACAGCCTCCAGATTTACATTATCAGTGGCTTGACGAGCCCAATGGCAACGCGGGAGCTCGATGAGGGTCCCGGCTACATGAGACCTCGACGAGGCCCGGTACATTAGTCTCAATAATTCATCAAGCCATGGACTTGTTCTGTCTGTGCAGCAATGATAACAATCGACGTTGTTCCCCCAAGCACCTGCTGCCATTGCAGCAACCGCCTACTCACGTGCTGGTAAGGAGGTGGTGGATGTGGCCATGTTCATGACATTGGAGGGCGGTGAGCTCGAAGAGGAAGGATTGTCGTGTGTTAGGCATGCCTCCTCTCTAACTATTTGGTGTAGTTGGGCGAGAAGGTGGACGAGGAAGGAGGAATGGAGATTGTCGCCATCCTTTCTGCTCTCCCCACCCGGCCCTTCACTGGCAGATCGGTTTAAGGGACCTTTAGAGGCCCGCGCTCTATCGCCTCTGTAGGCTAGTAGGAAGTGGCGGAGAAGATTAAATTCTATCTCTAGAGGCCTGCGCTGTATTGTCTTTGTGGGCTAGTAGGAAGTAGCGGAGAAGATTAAATTCTATCTCTAGAGACCCGCGCTCTATCGCCTTTGTAGGCTAGTAGGAAGTGGCGGAGAAGATTAAATTCTATCTCTGGCATCTGTCCTCCACCGCATAGGCTACTAACCTTGGAGGTAGCTTAAGGTCTTGCCACTCGCGGAACCCAGGGTTAAACCTTTCGGTTTAGCCAATTTGATTGGACCTCGCCGAAATTTTGAACAAAATTTAGTTGAATTTGAACAAATATTACCAAAATGCACGAAAAAATTGAAAAAGTTCGGCCGAAATAATATCGTATCGGAGGGGTCCGAAATGACCAAAATTTCCAACCCTAGCGGAGTCTCCAGGAAAGAGAAGGGGAACTGGTGGACAAAGAAGACGAGAGGTAGCCACTTACATGTGGGTCTCATGTCTATTTTTTAGTTTCTTTGATGACTGGGCTATAAAGTAGACACCATGTCAGCCAAAACCACCCTTAAAATCAGCCGGGTGAGTTGTTTTGCACTAGTTTTAGTATTTGAGGAGGCAATATACCCTGTTTTATATTGTTGAGTGATGTGAATCAAAATCCAACAACAGTTTGAGGGAGTTATATTGGACTTTTGGCCGAGGGAAAAGGATGGGAATAAGTTCACCGGAGGTCCCTTAACTTAACAGCGAGATTTGTTGAGGTCCCTTAACCGCAAAACCAGAAATCTTCACCCCTCAACTATACAAAACCGTCTAATTTGGGTTCTAAGGCAGTATAGATGGCTGGTTTTGATGACGTGGCATCATAGTCAACAAAAATAATTAAATAAATATGTGGGGCCCACATGTCAGTGAGAGAAAATGATGTGGGCCCCACATCTCTTTTTTGTTTCCTTTTTCTCTTCTCTTCTCAACTTCTCAGTTCTCACGCGCAGGCGAGCAGATGGCGGCCGACAGCGGAGCGGGCGCGGCTGCCGGCGCCATGGGCGCTGCGGCGCGCGGGGAAGAAGCGGGAGAGGAGGCGGCCAGCGCCAGAGAAGGGGAGAGAGGCGGCCGGCGTGACCACTCGCACGTGACCGCCCGCGACGGCGGGAGCGGCGGCTGGCGCCCGCCTCTCCCCATCTGGAGCCACGGCGGGTGAGGGGGCGAGCGGCGACCTTGCTGTCGCCAGCCACGCCGCCTCCACGGCACCACGCACCTCCTCGGCACGACACCGGCGGAGGATGCGGAGGAGAGCGGCCGGGAGAGGGCTCGACGGCGAGCAGGAGGATGGGCAGGCCGCTGATGCTCCGCCGCCGCGCTCGCCTGCCTCCGGAACGTGCCGCGGAACCCGCCACGGAACACGCGTCTGTCCAGCCGACGCATCGCATACGGCGTCCGCTCTTGCGGCGGCACCGTCTGCCTCCGGCCGTCGTCGTCGTCGTAATGAAACATCCATTAATTAGTTTGCACACTGCATGCAGCTAGCTAGCCAACCGACCATGCCCTGCCCGACCGTGGGCTGGTCCAACACGGGAGGATGCCGTGCTTCTCCAGCTGCCCACGCAGCCCGACGCCGCTCAGCATCAGCAGCTGCAGCCGCCGCTCGCCGCAGGCACCGCTCTCCGTCGCTCCGGGTGCCTTCTTGCCCGCCGTCGCCGCTAGTAGTCGCGCTCGCCCGTCGCCGCCCGCCGCCTGCTCCGCTCTCCAACGCTCCGCCTGCCTGCTTGTCCGCCATCAGCACTCGCAGCCACGCTCGCCCGCCGCTGCTCGCCTGCCGCCGACTCCGCTCTCCGCCGCCGCTGCTCCGGCCGCTTGCCGCCGCGGCGACTACTGCAGCTCTCCCCTCTGCGGCAAGAAAAGGGAAAAGAGAATAAGGTAGAAAGGTAGACGATGATGCTGACAAGTGGGCCCTTACTATTTTCTTCTCACTTACACGTGGGTCCCATATATTATCTTTTTATCTTTTGCTGACTAGGATGCCACGTCAGCGAAACTGGATGTCTATACTATCTAGAGACTTTTTTTTGGATGGTTTTATATAATTGAGGGGTATACATTTCTGGTTTTATGGTTAAGCCACCTTAGAAAATCTTACTTTTAAGTTGAGGGATCTCAGGTTGACGGGAGTAATAGCTGCGCACAGAGTTGGGCTGTTCGGCCTGCTCAGTTTCTGTGATCGGAAAACCGTGCAAAAGCCCGAAGACCGAACAACGAGGAACATTTCCCTTGTCCTTTTCAAGATTAATGTGGCAGCAAGGCAAGAGGATAAAATCGAAACTTAAGAGATGCCTATCTATCATACCTTCCTTTCTGTTCCAGCAAACATATCGAGCAGTTTACACCTTTGCTCTGTCTCGCACAGTTGTGGATTGTTCATATCAGCACCATATGAACTACACATATTTTAGGTCGTCCTCCGAGAACGGAGGTACTAGAAACAGCATAACACGCTAGGACCTATTGCAGGGAGCTGGGCCCCTTATTGTGACTTAACGAGACAACTTTGGCCCTAGTCCAGTGAGGCAGTGTATATGTCTGTCTGATTATCATTCGTAATAGAAGGCTCACCGACAGTCCTGGAAGGGGACTGAACATTCACAAGTCAGCAGTTCAATTGAGATGATACGACAACAGCTGAATGAGTGATGTACTATACAGTACTTACTACTCCTAACGACGATATGAAAGTTTCAGCTCGTCATCATGATTTTCAAGGTTCCAACCCTTGCGACAATACACTTTGAACCAATAGAGGTAGAAAATCAATCTGATTTGAGCAAAATTCATAGCACAAAATGTGCTTCAGACTTCATGATCAGGTAGAAAAGACCTGCAGTAACAAGTGACCGGGACTGCAAAAGTCAGAAGAACGGGGAAGAACTTTCACTCTGGAAAGACAACACCTTCCACTACTTACTCTGAAAACTGTAAACTTATGTACCGAACCAAAGAGTAGACATATATGCAGCTCAATATATACACCAAATGAACACCCCCAACCTTATTCGTCTAGTTACATATCCGACGCACCCAGCCCCGGACTAACAGGAGTAGTGCGTTTTGTGAATTGTCCTCTTTAGCTTGTCAAGGATACCAGCAGCCTTCCTCCGCGCCCTCGAAGTGCCATTCTGTGCGAGCCAGGCCAGAGAGCCATTCAGGTTCTCATCCTCGACGACCTCCCTAAGTTTCGTGCGGTCGTACATACAGATAGAGAAGAGCACTGCCACCGCATTCTCTTTGTTACGTTTGCATTGGTCATCCTTTATGATGTGGAGCATGCAAGGCACGCCACCAGTCTCGCCGATCTCCTCCACCGTCTCATGGTCGCTTGATAGCAGAGCAAGGATAGTCAGCGACTCATCAGTGAGTGACTCATCGCTGATCGCCTTCAGCACCACGTCAATAACTCCGCTTTTTGTGGCTCTTGATTTATTCTCATGCAACTTGCAAAGACTAAAAATAGCTGATGCTGCATCTTTCTTCGCTGTCATGCTCCCGTGTTCAAGAAGATCAACCAGAGGCCTCATTGCACCTGACTCACCAATCTTCGCCTTATTGCTATCAAGGGCAGACAAACTGAAGATGGCAGCTGCAGCATTGCTGCGGGCCTCCATGGTTCCTGACTGTAAGGCACTTATGAGGAATGTGATTGCCTTTGTGTCATCTCCAATGATTTTCTTGTTGCTCTCATGAATTGAAAGATTTAGAATTGTTGTCACTGTGTCCTCTAGAACTTCAGAATTGCTTTCCAGTTCTGGATTGGAGACAGCAGAAATCATTTGTGAGATGGAATCTGGATTCTCTCCAATGACTGCTCGGAATGAGCTATTGCGCTTAGTTAGCAGTCGAAGATCTTTAATAGCTTGCCTCTTCTCAGATATGTTTGACGAGGATGAGATCCTGTCAAATAATTCACTGAATGACTTCCGCTCATTGTTGGTAACTAAATCTTCCTCTTGATTCTCAAGTGGCGAAAGAGCAATTCCATTCTCTGTACACCACTGTGCAATCATGCTTCTAACAAGGTGATTTGGGATGAGAATTGTATTAGAGAGGACTTGCTGAGTCTGTGGGCATGTCCTGTTTCCAGCACTTAACCATTCTTGAATAAAGCGGCGATCATATGTCTACAAGGAGAATAGAATAGTTATCTCAAGCTAGCACACCAAAAAGAAAGAAAGGAAAACATTATGTTCTTGCACAAGACCAAAAAAAAATGGCCCTTCAAATGTAACTTACTTCCTCCGTTTCACAATGTAAGTCATTCTAGCATTTCCTATATTCATATTGATGTTAATGAATCTAAATAGATTTATATGTCTAGATTCATTAACATCAATATGAATGTGAGAAATGCTAGAATGACTTACATTGTGAAACGGAGGGAGTATATATTAGTTACTGAAGCTCAGAAAACAATGACTACTTGCCAGATATATTTATAAGCTGTGTAGTTTTTCAGTAATTATACAATACAATGTGATCAATTTCTTAGTAAGCCACAGTGATCCTGGTGAAAAAATATAGTACTAACTCATTCCTGATGTTAGTCATAGTGATCCTGAATTCCTGATGCAGAAATAACTAACTCGTTCTTGATGTTATTTATCATTAACCCCAAGCCACTTCTCTGTTCTGAATCATGCCAAACAAAAAGCTATCACGAACCCCAGTACACAATGTCAAAATCAGGGACCGCATGCAGTAGCAGCTAATATAAAGGAATTATGCCAAAGCATACTAATAATTAATGCACAGTGCCAAATCTGGGACCGCCTATACAACAATAATCTTATTCAAGAGTCTGAATTGACACATTTTCTGAATTATTAGATAAAACTGAGCAAGACACGCCGACAAGGTTGGACTAGGACAGTACTGCAGTGCTAGCATAGAGTATGGAGTACAGCACATCTCTGAAAGGGACATCCAATTTCAGTGCTAAAAAACCCATCACCCGAACATGCAGTTAACACTGAGTATTTGAACGGCCACTGCAGCAGAGACCAACAGTACAACTCACTTCTAGTAGTTTTATGAATTCTTTTAAAAAAATAAAACTGAAAAAAAAATCTTAAAATTGCACCTCCAAAATATCAAAATAAGCATACACCTTACAAGTCTAGATAACGAACGGGTAAGTTCACTCCTTACAGAATTTAACATCTGGAATTTGCAAACACTTTACTTCCAAATTAGTGTAGTAATTAAAACAGCCAAAGAACAAATCAAAACTCCCGTATTAATGCTAGACATGAGAACTAGAGCAAACGATGAGCTAGTACCACGGCATCAACATCAAAGATAGCCAAAACAAGCATTCAATTCACGCAGAGCTTACGTTTACGTCAGACCGAATATAACTTGAATCCTTTTATGATTTGGGGATGGGGAGAAAGGCAAAGAAACAGCAAGCAAATATGGAAACAGCAATAACTCATCACGTGATGCTAGAATGTGGCGTGTCAGGTCAATATGCAGCAGAAGTTATTTTTTGCGATACACATATTAAATATTCCAAATATTAGCAATAAAAACCGGATTTCATTAATCCTATTTCCACGATACGGAGCAGAGTTGCTTCCAAGGAAAAAAAAATAAAAAACAGGATATGAAGCAGTGTGCCATGCGAAATTATTGCCCACAAATGTTCATCAATTCCGCGCGCAGAGATACAGAGAACACAGGTACAAAATCAAACAGGGCAATCTAAAAGGACAAAAGAAACAGACAGGATCAGTTGTACTGTACCAAAATCAATTGGCCCGTAAAAAAGAGACAGGGGATTAACAGGAGGTTTCTTTGCGAAATCTTCGTAGAATTTCACACGACAGCAATCATATCACTGAAGAAAAGAGTTGGGGGGAGGAGGAGGATCACTAGCGGAAAGCCTGTATAGACATTAAACTATAGAAATAAAAAAAAAAGCAATCAGAGCCGAGAGAAAGGGACAGGTGGTGGTGTCATCGGGAGCTCGTACTCTGCCACGCAATTCAATTTATTACGGTACTCGAGCTTGACGATTCATCAGACATCCTAGAAGCACCGAGAATTCAAGAGGATAGGGACAAAGTAGAACAGGGTACTAGAAAGAAGCAACAGAAGTTACTGGGCACAGTTGTTGGTAGTACTACAATTTCTTAACAAATGGAAGTAGTAGTAGTAGTAAATGAACTTGAGGTAAAAAAAATTTTGACTCAAATCAATGTTGCCACTAAACGCGCTTTGCTTTGATTTCCTCGACGAAACCCGACGAGATGGGGGATTTCTAGAACAGCGATTGGAAAACTCCCCGGAAACCGAAGAAGCGGACCCGATTTTGACCAGCAAACTGATGACAGCGTGTGAATCAATCAACCCAACCCGCCTACCGGCTAACCGCCCCCCGCCCCAAGTCCCCCACAGGGAAAAAACGGAGGTTATACCTGGCCGGACGCGAGCACGACGGGGTCCCGCATGATCTCCGACGAGATAGGGCAGAGGAACTGCTCCGGCACGGCCGCCGCCTCCGCGTGCCCACTCCTCCTCCTCTCCGCCCCGGCCCCGGGGCGGTCCTTCGGCGGTGGCCCCAGCTCCGCGTCTCTCAGCGCCGCGAGCGCCGACGCCGCCTCGTCGAAGGCCTCCCCCCCTCCGACGCCGCCGGCTGTCACGGCGGCCACGAGGCGGCGCAGGCGGAGGCGCAGCGCCGCCGCCGTCGCCTCCTCGGGCGCCGCCGCCGCCGCAGCGGGCGTCGACTTGGCCATGGGGCTAGCTGCTGCTGCTGGTGGTGGTGGTCGCGGTCGCGCCGCCGCGAGGAACGGAGGGCATGGGCGTGGTGGTCGCCTTCGCGTCGCGGGGAGGAGGGGAGAAGGGGGGAGGAATGGTGGTGGTGGAGAGAAGAGGAAGACTGGAAGAGGAAGGAAGGAGAAGGGGTTAACGACACATTTTGGGTGGTTAGCAAGTTAAGCGCGGTTTTTTATACGGGTAGGGGAGGACGCTGGTTGGACACGTCACACGATTAATCCTGTGGGTTAGGAGTGGCCTTCCTTCTAGATTTCCCTTTTTTTTTTGTTTTCTTTTTGAAATCACCTTCTCCTAGACTTGTAGGCGGCTGGAGCTTTTTTATTTTCTTTGTTATTGCTACTAGTTTTATTCGTGTAAATGAAATGCAATATTAGGGTAGGACCATAAGTAAGATGTGAGTAAAAGATAATTTTTATATTTATACCATTCGTGGTTAAAAAGGCAAAGTTATATAATAAAATATGGAAAAAAATCCCGAAATAAGATCTATAATTATGTTTAAAACTTTTGGATGCACCTGACAAACCAATGAGCAGACTTCATATTCCCATGCTTTTCATGCGGGAGCAAAAATCCTAGCATAAGAAATGAATAGTAGTCATTCTCCCCCTTTTTCTTTTTAATAACTTCAAAATCTTTCATGGGCTCTAGCTTGACCTAAGCTGGAAACTAAGCATAAATGGTGATAATTATGTCCTCCGTTTCATCATATTATGAGTTGGTTTGACTTTTTCCTAATTAAATTTCTTTAAAGTTTAACTAAGGTTATAGAAAAATTTAGTGTTTTCCTATACAAAACAAACATAAAACTAATTTGATGCTATATATGTTGCTAAATTTTTCTATAAATTTAATATATAAATTTTAAGTGCAGCCATAGTTTTCCACGCCGAATTTTGACCGTCCGTTTTATTTGAAAAAATTTAAAAACTTAAGTCACGAGTAAAATACTATTCATATTTTATCATCTCATAATAAAAAATACTAATTATAAAAAATTTTAAATAAGACGAATAATTAAAATTAGATGCGAAAAATTATGGTTACACTTAAAATAGGACGGAGGGAGCACTACTTTGTCACAGTAAAAAAAGTGCGTCGTAGCGTATGATCCGGCAGGTACCATCGACTACCCGCCGGTTGTTCACGACGACTACTCCTACCGTCGTACACTCTTGATCATAACCAAAGGAAAAAAAAAAAAGGTGGAGAGGGAGAAGAGGTGGATAAGGCGCGGCGAGAGTTTTGAACGCGGGGGAGGGGGCACACCAGGCCAGCTGCGGTGTCGCGCCACGCGTTCGCCTCCAGCGCGAAGCCGCGTCGCGGGCCCCGTCGAAAGCAAAAGGCAAAGAATTATAAACGGCCTCGTCGTCTGACTCCGACTCCGCGGGGGCCCCTCTCCTCCCCGCGAAGGCAGCAGCACGAGATGGGCGCCCTCACTCCCTGGCTCACTGCTTATGCGAGAGCGAGACCCGTTGAACTTGTGAACAGCAGAACTGAAGGACACCCGCGCTGGCTCCCCGCTGGGAACACGATCGATGCATGCCATCGCGGAATCGGGACATTCAGTTGGAAACGATCAATTGCTAACCCTTTTGTGTCAAAAAGAAATAAAAAATAATATACAGTATAAACGTATGCGGTCATACCATGTACTACCTCCGTTCTCTAATATAATATAACAATATAATATAACAGATATTCACTACTCCCTCCGTCCTAAAATAAGTGCAGTTTTGCACTATTCACGTTTAACGTTTGACCGTTCATCTTATTTGAAATTTTTTTATGATTAATATTTTTATTGTTATTAGATGATAAAATATGAATAGTACTTTATGTGTGACTAAATATTTTCAAATTTTTTATAAATTTTTCAAATAAGACGGACGGTCAAATATTGGGCACAGGTATCCACGGTTGCACTTATTTTGGGACGGAGGTAGTATTTTCTTATAACGTTTGACCACTCGTCTTATTAAAAGATTTATGTAAATATAAAAAACGAAAAATTGTGCTTAAAGTACTTTAAATAATAAAGTAAGCCACAAATAAAATAAATAATAATTTCAAAAAATTTTAAATAAAATGAATAGTCAAACAGTACAAGTAAAATAACAAAATTTCTTATATTAGGGGACGGAGGGTACATATTTACTTACGTTACTCCGTCCTTCTTAAAATATTTTAAGAATCTAGAATCGGATTGGATAGAGCAACATGTTTAGATTCGTAGCACTGGAAAATGGAACATCCGATTCGAGGTTTTTATATAACATAGGGAGTATATGCTTATTATTGGTGGAGAAAATTCTCCAAATGAAAACAGCCCTCCAATGGTAGTAAGACACGGCATATCTTAACATGAACGGTCAAATTAATACAGAGACGTGAAGTATTTTACGTGCGTCTGTTACCTATACTACGGAACAGGGCACACCAAACGTGTGATGGTACATTCATACGTGTTGCCGTCATGTACGGAAATACTCTTTCCTTTGAGTGTGAACAACCACACAATACTAATGTTGATGCTAAGTACTTCTACTTAGGCCTGGTTAGTTCCCCAACCCTTTTTTTCCCAAAAACATTACGTTAAATCTTTGGACACATGCATAAAACATTAAATATAGATAAAATAAAAAACTAATTGTACAGTTTATATAAAAATCACGAGACGAATCTTTTGAGCCTAATTAGTACATGATTAGCCATAAGTGCTACAGTAATCTACATATGCTAATACTGGATTAATTAGACTTAATAAATTCGTCTCATAGTTTTCAGGCGAGTTATGAAATTAGTTTTTTTATTCGTGTTCGAAAACCTCTTTCGACATCTGACCAAACATCTAATGTAACATTTAAAAATTTTCTTTTCGCGAACTAAACATGCCTTACTACGTCAGGACTACTCCGAGTACACTACCATGGAGAATTTTGTACAGCGTTAAAGCACAGCATAGGTGCCCACTTAAAAAAGTTGAAAAAAAAAGATATCTCAACCGATCGATGTTGCAACTTGCAAGCCGCAGTGATAAATTCAATTCTGAATAAATGAGGTCTGAATTAGAACAGGAGTGGCTGAAACACTGACATCCTGAATCGAGCAACATAAATGGAGCACTACGAAGTGGCTTAAAACTGGAAACAATGTGGATTACACTGTTCACCATGGGTGAAGGGGACAGATTGCTTGTCCATCTTGATTAACTGTTGGATTGGCACGCGTCGACTGTTCCTTTTTGTTTTTCTTTTTCATTCCGGCGACAGATACCGGGCTCGTCTGGTCAATGTCTCGTCGCGGCAAATCTCGATCACGCGCCGCGCGCGGCGTGTGTGCATGCGGAGACGTACGAGTCGAAATCACACGCGGATCACGCGTGTTTTTCCCTGCTCTTGCGTTTGCATTTTGTTCAGAAGGAGGCTTTTCTTCTTATTCAAGTTCTGCAAATGAGTCCTCGAAAAAAAAAAGAAGTTCTGCAAACGAGGGCCGTTTGAAATTGGGTAAATTGGAACCATGCCATTATAATTTTGTAAAGTTTAAGATATGCCATCGGTATCTCAATGACATGTAGAACCCACATGAGTCAATGATATGTGGGTCAAGATGGTATATCTTAAATTTTATAAAATTATAATGGCATGGTTCCAATTTTTCCTTTGAAATTTCAGGTTGGACTTCTTTTTTCCCCACGAAATTAGCCTGGAGGAATGAGGATTTGTCCATTCCCTCCACTTGTCGGAGAACGTAAAGAATGAGCTCAACCATCTCCTTTGAGAACCATCAGGCAGCCTCTTACTTATGTCCAGTATGATAAGCAGACGTACTATAGATTAACTGTGAAGAAAGAGAGAAGAAAAACAGACTACAAATTTATTGTTAGTTGTTGCGTGGACTCCAAAATATTATCTCTATATGAGACGTGGGCCAAATATGAGTGTTGCAATATATATTTATATAAAACCATTATATGGATAAGCTATTAAAATGACTGTAGATGATGTATCAATTTTTGGAGCTAACAATTGACTATACTATTAATCTTGGATAATGGGTCAAGATGGTTGGGATCGGGATAATAATATAAGAGGAGGGTTGACATGAAATGAGATATGAATAATGGGTAACTAGGATTAAAATTGCATTTTAGAAGATAAGTAGCTTGACTAGTAACAACGAGAAGTAGCACAACCGTAAAGGAAAGGAAAAGAACCCTGGTGAATGGATGGGAAGGGATGTTCCAATTCCATTATCGGTAGGTTCACATGCTCTATCATAATGACACTATTATATAGACACTTAAACGTGAGGAAATATTAGAATGTGACCCACGTATTAGTGACTGTAATGATAGTGATATTATGGTAGAGGATCCTCACCTGTTACCGACAGACCCTAAGCGTCTTCCTGAGCAACCAAATATTCTGTTAACAAATTAAAGCCTGTCTCCTACTCTTCTTTTCAATTTGTTTTTGTGGTGTTCCTTCAAAACAAGCCACTTTATCGTGCGTTGCGCGACTTTGGATACCTACATAAAAAGTCTTGTATATGAGCTGCAACGTTATATTATAAAGTTCCATCGTTTGGTATATTGAAGAAAAAAAAAGAGAAATGGCATATTTGCAAATAAAGATAATTTATGAATAAAAATTTTATATATGTGTTCTAACGATCTAAAAGCAAAGACCGAAAAAAACTATGATGAAAAAAATCCCAAAATCAACTCCAAATTTAAAGTTGAAAATTTAAATTTTGACTGATAAACATAAATATAAGCGAAAATATGAGGTTGATAATCTCCTTCTTTATCAACGAAAAAGAGACATGTCTTTTTGTACTCTTATTCCAAAAAAAACAATATATTACAGTGAGTTAACGCACTATGTTGTGTGTTAGATGTTACTTTCGATGTCTATGTAAAAGCCTTGTACATATAAACTGTAATAATATAGAATAATTAGATTTTACACTAAGTTTGAAATTGCTATAAAATCATAGGACTAAAAACAGCTAGTAGATTGTAGTTTTATATATATATGAACCTACGATCCCAAGTAACAGATATATGAGTGCTATTTAGGACTCTTTCTTAATTTAGGATTTTATTAATTAGGTTACTTTGATAAGAATGTAAAATTTTATTAA